TGCTTATAATAATCATAAATTTAAAATCAAATATGAGGAAAATTTGCGCCACGATAATTCTAACTCTTCTATTTGAATTATCATTTTTAACTTCTGCTCAAGATCTTGTGGCAGGAGTATCAATATCAGATACCTAGAATAAGGTTAATCAGCTTGCAACCTACAGATTCACCTTGATACCTGAAGAACTTACCTTTAATGCAGGGACAATTATTTAAACTTTTCTACCACCCACTGTGACTTTAAAACTAAGTTCCTCAAATTCAGTCAGCGTTTGCAGATAATTTATCAAGCTAACAAGTTCAACTTAATAACTCGACAACTGTGTCTATGATGATACTCAGCAAATGATATAGTTCTAAATAAACTAAAAAATTGACTTTGAAGTGGCTTATGAGTATGAATTCGCATACATTTAAAATCCATCAATCTCAACATTTGTCTCTGGATTCAGAATTCTTGTCACTGATTCTTTTGGAAATACTCTCTATGACACTACTGTGAACTCGGCTGCTGTTTTCATTTAGCCAGGAGAAATAACCAATCAAAATTTAGAGGATTCTAGCTAAAAAGTCAGTGATATAGCGACATTTACATTCAAATTTTAAATAACTAATTCAATTCCAGGAGATGGTCTCTTCTAAATCACTTTCCCCTTAAATGAGATAGATGTTCCAACAAATGTTCAGGGTTCAGACACAAGAATAAAAATATATGATGGTGCTTGGCAATCAGGTAACATTATAGCAAGCACGAGATCCATAATTTTTCAAAGTGCTCTAGGAGGAACTACTCTAAAACCTGATTCTTCTAAATACATTCAAATTGAAGTTAGCAAGATATTAAATCCTAAATCATTAAAGGAGACTTCGAGTTTCTAGGTAGCATCAATGGATGCATCTTATAATAAAATTGACTAAGCTTCTTCTCTGATGACAGTTAAACCATCTATTCCAGGGGATATATAAATCTTTAGTGTTGGCCCACAAACTAATCCCTAAGTAGGACAAACTACTGACATAAATTTTAACATTTAGCTAGCTTAACAATATGAGCAAGGAGGATATTTAATCATAACTTTCCCTCCAGAAGTTACTATCAAGACTCTTTAATGCTTCCCATTTATTGGATTCGTAACTTAGGACTCAAACTGCGCTTTGATCAGCAACTCCCCTTAAACTGTAAAGCTCCTCAATGCAGTTTCTTCAACCAGACTATTTTTCCTAATAAGTTCAATTTAAAATCCATCAAGTACCAAAACATCGAGTACCTTTCAAATTTAAGCTTATGATGCCTCCAACTACCTTATGAGTCAAATCTTATCCGGTGTTAGTTATACTTCAACTCCAGCCTAGTTAAAGTCAGGTACCTCTCTTAGATCTTAAACTAAAATCAATACCTTAACAGGAAACACTCAAACTCTTACTTTCACCTTAACCAATCCTCTAATAAGTGGTGATTTGATATTTGTCAAAGTACCTTATGATCAAATGCTAGTAGATTCTGCATCCTTCAGTTGCTAAATTACTTTAGGCAGTTAAGTGACGTCTCCACTCTGTAATCTTGATGCAACAACTAATACTACATATTTTCTGGTTACACTTACAAGTCCTTGTTCATCTGGTTGTTCAGCTAATTCTATATTTTAGTTAGCTCTTAGTGGTGTTAGAAATCCTTTATGGATAGTAAGTCCTCTTACTAAATCAATAGAAATCTACACAATGACTTCAGATTAATTATACATAAGAGATAGAAGAATTACTAATATATTTACCACTCCAGCATTAATAGAAGGAAGCTTAACTGGGATAAGCTTGACAAGATATGGAAAGATCGTCAACTCTGCAACAGAAATTCAAGTTTATTTTACGACTAATAACCTAATACCAGCCAATGGATTAATCAGAATTTATCTCCCTTCAAATTCATTTTATAATCCAAGCTCTGGTTCTATCTTATGCTAGGATCTCTTAAATAGCAACTAATCCTTAACCTGCAACACAGTGTTAAACACAGATACAGCTACTGGAATAAACTACATTTAAGTATCCAGTAAATGCACTTCCAGCTGCCTAGCTAGTATCCAGATTGGAATTAGAGTGTCAAACCTTAAGAATCGTGCTTCAGTGAGATCCATTTCAAATGTATTTGCAGTAAGGACATTTACTATAGAGGGCTATTACATAGACTTAGGAAATCTTACTTCTGCATAAGGATTAGAACTATACACTGCACCATTTTAAAATCTATTGATAACTTCTCCCTTGAGTTAAATAGTGACAGGTACAACATAGTCCTATGTTTTCAAAATTACTCCAACCTATGGAATATCTCAAAATACTGGTCAACTAATCTTAACCTTTCCTTCTGAGATAAAACTAGTAGCTACTAATTCTTAATGCTCTGTAACTGTAGCCTCTATATTATTAACTTGCTCAATAAATCTTTAGAAGCAAGAAATTACCATTACCAATAGCAATTCTTAGAATTTGGCTGGATAATAAATAACTTTAACTTTGAATAATGGAGTTTAAAACCCAATTAATACCAAAGCAACGAGCAAATTTATTGTCAAAACTACGCTTTACGATTCATTGAGCCAGGCCTATAACCAAGTAGAATATAATGATGATATACTATCTGTGACTGCTGATACTCCTAATTCTCTGAATAATATCTAAGCAACCAGATCAAATACTTAGATCAATTAGCAGACTGATCTTAAAATTTCATTCACAAGTACAAATCCTATTCCAGCTAATTCCGTAATAATAATAAGCATCCCAGTTGATCAAATCTTATTCAAAGATAGTCCTTAATTTACCCTTGAAGATGCTTCAACTTCTTCAGCTTTAGTTTAAACCAGTTTTAATAATCAATATTCAACTTCTAAGTATGCTAAAATATCAATAATACAATGGTGTTCAACCACTACTGCTTAATGTCCTGCTGCTACTGAACTAAAGATCAACATCAAAAATGTTTTCAATCCAGGATCTACTAAACTAGCTTCTCTAAGTATCCAAGTAGTCATTGAATAAGAGGGGTAATATTTCTCAGATGTAATGCTCAGTAACATATTCACCACTCCGTTACTAAGTAATGGACCATTTAAGAGTCTATCATTTTCTCAATCAAGTATCAATGTGGGAGAAACAACATCATTCACAGTTAATGCTAGAATTAATAATCCTATTCCATCAGGATAGAATGGAACTCTCACTCTTATATTTCCCAGTGGTTTATTTTATCAAGTAAAGGATACTCCAATATATTGCCTTTCAGCATCATAAGGTTTGCATTTTGAAGTTGTAACTACTACTTTGATTCTTGATACAGCCATTGCTTCAATTCAAATCAGTATGAACTGCTTAAATCAGGACTGTTAATCCAACAGTCTCAGAGACTTTACAATATTCAATTTAAGAAATAGATATTCATCAGCAACTTAAGAGGGCTCTATATAGCTCTAGTCTTCTGATTAAGATGATTTAACATACGATGCGTAATCAGTGTCTTTTAGTGCAACTAATCTCAGGCAAAATCTATATCCCTCTTAATCTGGTATAATTATTAATGCTACAAGATCCAACAATACTGTTTCTTAATTCACTGATCTAACAGTCTACATTTAAAGCTCAGTGCCTCTAAAGAAAGGATCATAAATTCAATTCTTCCTACCAAAAGAATAATTTACCTATACCTCAGAGCCAAACTGCTACAATACTAAAACTAATACAGATTTGAATTGCTAATTTTTCTCAGTCCTCGAAGATTAGGAATACTTTGGGTTCTAAGTCTCAGAATTTTGCGATTCATAGACAAAATGCGAAGAAAATATAGCTTTAGGATTTAAAATTTCCCAGCTAAAAAATAGATATAACACTTAGGTATCAACTAAAGCTTATAAACTTAGCATATTTGGCCCTGATTAGTTTGTTATTGAGTTCAATGGAAATACACTATTGCCATTTAATAACTTGCTTGTAACTTAGGCTGTTGTTTTTGATAATCTTAGCATAACAAATCCAAAAGTTGGTGAATTAACTGATTTAGAGATATAAGGGAGATTATAAAACTAGGCTCTTGTCGGAGATGCTATTAAACTTTGCTTTTCAACTCCAATAATTTATGATTCATAGCTTCCAAATTAAACTTGTAGTCTAACTTCAACTAAGGGTATATAGAATGGTGCGTGTGACTTAGACATAGATATTAATGACTAAGGAATACTATGCCTGAAATTTATCTCTACTAATGATATTGCAGCTGATGAAATAATAACTATCTAGATTTCAAATGCTAAAAATCTTTATGAAGCTACATAGTATCAGTCGACAATATCATTAAATGCCTAAACCTCAAGTTAAGCACTGATTTCTAGCGGTTAACTAGCATATATAAAGAGTTTATTATAGGCTAATAATTTCATAAGTGTGACTTCAGCGAGGGATAATAATAATTTATCTTAAGATGCTAAGATTGATATCACCTATCAGACTAGTATTGATGTTCTACTAAATAGTGAAATTAAAATTTCTATTCCATAGAGTCAATTCACCTACACCATTGGAAATTCTATAAATTGCTTCTAAGAATCAGTATCAATTCAATGTGGAAATATCTAATCTGATGGTGATTATACTAATGTAACAATTCAAAGCATTTGCCAAGCTCAAAAGTGCTCAGGTTATCAAGCATATACATTTTCTTTGACTGGCTTCTAAAATCCATCATAAGTTTAACCTGTATAATAAACGATAATAATGAGCATATCAAGTTCAAGTAAAAATAGGATAATAGACCAAATAGGGATAGAAGTACTTGCTTAACCACCAATAAAACTTGGAGAGCTTGTAAATCTCAAGGTTACTCAAAGTGAGACTTTAGTAGTTGGAGAGATTACTAACTACTAAATAAATTTTGAGTTTCCAAATACCATAACTTCAAGTGATCAGCTATTCATATCTTTCCCAGAGAAGACTGTTTCATTTTCGAATCTCAAGTGCCAAGAACTCAATTCTGGAAGTTATTTGACATGTTCTTAATCATAAGCCTAAGATGGATACCTGACAATAATAAGTATATCTAATTACTGCTTGGTCTCTTAATGCTTAAAGACTGTGTAGCAATCTGTAAAGATTACCGGCTTGAAGAATGTGATATTTTAGAGACCACGTAATTAATAAATTAAAGTGATGGCTATTACTGCCTCTGGGTTCGTAATAAGCACAGGAATATTCGAAGAAAACTTACTGCCTACGTTTATCATAAAAAATATTACTACAATGAAGGTAGTCAGAGAATCTACTGAGCCAGGTAATGATAATGTTGATCTCAAATTGTCCTTCACTACCTTAAACTTGATTCCTCAAGGCTCAATCTTAACCTATACTTTGCCACTTGATTAGTAAGAATTTAAAAATCCATTGCTCCTCACTTGCTTAAATGGGTAAACTATCCTAACATGTACTGTCATTGCATAGGATTAGAAGAATATTAAGCTTTAACTCACTGAATGGTGCAGTGGGGATTGCTAGATTGGCCAAACATTAACTCTCACTATTAAAAGGACTAAGAATCCTGATTAGATATCTAATCAAAATACTACCTATGGTATTTAAATTAAGACATCTGACAATTTTGGGTTGCAGGAAGTGACTAATGGTGTTTACATTTCTCCATAGCTAGTAGGACTTCCTCTAGATAATATTCTCATTGCTCGAGAGTAGAATTTTGTTGGAGCTATTGACTACCTAAAAGTCATTTTACTTATCCCCAATCTCATCCAAACTTCAACTTCTCTGGTCGTGCAAATGCCAGAAAGTGTAGCAATTAGCAATCAGAATATCACTGAATGCTAGATTTTAAGAGGCTCTTGGATAAACATTGAATGTTATTACTAAAATTATAACAAAACTCAGCTATTCAATCAGCTGCCTATAAATTAAGTGACAATGACAGGAATATGCACATCAGTCAATCCTTGCTTAAGGTAAGAATAACGATTTATAATAATTTAAAAAATAGGAATTAAAACCAGATCATCAGATTTAGAATTAAAAATCCAAGTACTCAGCTATCATTAGTTTAAAGTGATTTCAACATTTCACTGAAATAAGGACAATTAGACATTGCATTTAAGAAAGTTCCAAACGCATTAATAGGCATGCTTCCAAACAATATCACTGCATTAGTGTCGAAGGTTCAATTGGCTGCTAATGAAGTAGATTGCTACAAAACAGGTGAATCTTGCAAGATATAACTGACTATACAAACAGCTAACCCTGTGCCATCTATGTAGAATCATACAAGTTAGTTATAAATAAGACTACCCAGTCAATTCAAGCATTAGAGTACTTCTGCATGTGAAGCCAAGATCTTTAATTATTATGGAGCTTGTAGGTTTGTGAATTCTACAGACATATAAGTCAGACATAGTTTCTAAATCCCTGAGGCTGCTGCCAATAACTTCAAGTTCAACTACACAATCACTATTATCAATATCAAGAATCCATTCTCCACTGAGTAGACTGACAGTTTCACTATCTCTACTTACATTTAATCAGGAGCCAAATTATATTCGATAGATACAATGAAAAGTAACTTGACATACAGAATTGAATAGCCAAATAAGTTTAGTTAAGTGTCTGTAATCAGGAATAATAGTACTCCTGGAAAGTCAACTTAAGTTCAGCTTAAATTTAAGCTATTTAATACAATTCCTTAAAATGGAGAGATTGTTTTCAAGATACCTCAATCTCAAGCAATTATGAGCAGTGATCAACAAATAGTAGCTTACAAGGGAAATACCTTCAATTAAAACAATGCCTTGACTTTACTTGTTATTGATGACAGCACTTTCAGAATTACTAACCTTTGCATCAGTTCTACTACTGGTTGCGCTGAGAGTTCTGAGTAAATTATAACATTCTTATAAAGCGTATTCATCAATCCTGAATACTTTAAAGATCCATAGGACAGTATCGCCATTCAATCCCAGTATGTCTCCTCAAAAGATGGCGAAGTTTATCACATAGATAAGATCGATGAAGATATATTCGTTACTCCTTTACTGATCCTCCCAGAGATTATCATTTCTGATTTCTCAATAAGTTCATACAATACCTCTGATTTCGTACAACTTAAGTTTGTAGCATCTCTCAAAAGCTAAGACTAGACATTCTCCAAGTAATATATAAGACTCAGATTTGATGATTAAAGTCTAAATAGTGATCTCTATACTAATCTTTAAGTTCAAATCAATGCTTAAGCAGCCAATATTATTGAGATAAACAGAGAGTCAAATGATCTGATTAACTACATCATAGTAGAATGCAGCTAGTCTACTTGCTTGTCATAAAATTCAATTTAAATTCAGATAGATAACCTTAAGAATCCTTACTTCATTTTCGTTTCAACTGACTTAATGAAGAATCATAATTACAAGATCTATGTTCAAGAGGTATATCAACTCCCAGATAAGATATACAGCAGTGGCTATACTACAATGAATACTACGATTTCTAAAGTTTCACTAGCAAAAATTTAAAATCCTAGATTATATCAATCTAATACCAGTCCAGGAATTGGATCCTAGTTATAAATATCCTTTGAGTTATACAATTCACCTTATATTGATTCAAATACTAACATCAGCATTTAGCTTCCAATTAATTATACTGTTACTACCAAGGATCTAGTGTGCTCAGAAATGATATAGAATACCAAACTTACATGCACCTACGATAAGAATAAGAACATAATAATAATTAGCGGATACTTCGGAAGTATAGATGAGGTTAAATCTTATCAGTCTGTTTCAATCTAAGTTCTTGGAGTCAACAATTCAGTATCTGAAGGTTCTGGCAATATGACTATTAAGATCTATAACAGTGAAAAGATTTATGCCTAGAGCAGCACTGATTTTATCTTAAAAACTATGCGTACTTCAACAGAATGTGATGGCTCTTGTAGTCTCTGCACAATTTAAAAAGAGTGTCTCAGCTGCTCTTAACCTTCAGATTCTCCACTATTCTAGAATGGAAAATGTATTTCAGAATGTAAATCTGGTTACTTTGAATCAAATAACACTTGCCTTCCATGTTCCATTAACTGTTAATCTTGCCAATCATTTGACTAGTGCCTTTTATGTTAGAATTCAAATTAACTACTGGCGGATGGTAAATGTATCACTAATAGTAAATGTCCTAATGGAACGAAACTTAACTATCTTGGCTAGTGTGTTTAAGAACTAAACTGTTAGGATAATTGCACACAATGTGGAGTTAACACTAATTACTGTTACATTTGCAAAGATAATATGATATCTCTTAATGGCAAATGCGTTTTGAAATGTCCAGAGTCATACTTTGAAAATTCTAAAAGATAATGCGAGAAATGTAAATCTATTTGTGATCAGTGCTTGGACAGAGCTGATATGTGTACCAAATGTAAAGATGATGTATTTTCAAACAATAAGCTAGATCTACAAAAGCATACTTGTGTAAAGGAGTGCTCAAACGGCAGTATCGATAGTGAAACCAATTCAAATCAATGTGATGCTTGCGGTTCTAAATGCTTTGAGTGCTCTATCAGTAAAGATAACTGTACCTCATGCTATTATGATAAGAGCAATCTTGAAGATCTATTCAAGTATGGCAATGATTGTACTAACAAATGCCCTGTTGGGTTTTACAATAACTATGATAACCATCAATGTGAGGAGTAGACATTCTAGCTACTATCTTTTCCGCCTATGTACTTGATTAGTTCTGTGAGTCTGTCGCTAATTACACTGGCTGTCAGCAAATTTGCTGCTGCTAAGACCGATGCTACTGGAGATATAGCTATTTCATTGGCAACTCAAATTGAATTCCTGAACAGATTATTTTTATTGGGCAATTTATGGTCATCTACAAAGACTTTTAGCTTCTGTGTTACTAGTCTTACAATTCTTGGAAACTCATTTATTGCTATTTATTTCGCCACACTCGTGATTGAACCCATTAGCACCTAGCTAAATAATGCAGTAAAAGCAGACTCATTGATTTTTAAAGGAATTGTTGTGCTCTCATAGATTACAGGAATCAACACAATTAGGCTTTTGACCTCTAGATTTTTTGGAATGGAAGTTTTCTCTACAAAGTTAGATGAAATAGTTTATTATGTCAAGCATTTAGAGACAATATCTTTGATCAGCACAGTTTTAAATGTATTCTAGCTATTTACTGGGGTTTCATGCATCTTTGATTTTGCTTTTGCTTAAGACTCAATGGGATTAGGAGTCAATAGTATAATTTTGAATACAGGCCTAGTTGCTGCTCAGACTTTTAAATATATAAAGTCTATGAATCTTATTAGGTCATACGGAAAGGTATCATAAATGTGATTAAATTATTAATTTTAAGAATTGCTAAAATCAAACTATTATGATGAGAAGGGGTTTTGGGGTTTTGGGG